AACCTTTTCAAAGGACGTCAAAAGATTTGTAAAACAAGATTTTCCCTTAGTGAAACCATGTTGACTATCCAATAAAATTCTAAACTTTGTTAAAAGACTTTGCATAGCATCTTTCAACAGACTTTCCAAAAATTTTCTTACAACTGATGTAAGACTAATGGGTCTATAACTACTGGGACAATTTTTATCACCTCCCTTGAAAAGAGGAGTTACATTAGCTAACTTCCAATCCTCTGATATCTGTCCACTATTCAATGACTGACAAAAAATAGATGTAAGTGGCTCACATATCCAATATTTAACCTCCTTCGAAACCCTTGGGGAAATATTATCTGGCCCAGGAGCCTTATCGTTTTTTAAACTTTCCAATTTTTTTCTTAACCAGCTTAGAATTAATGCAGTCATCTTCTTTCCATTTATCAACTGTTGAAGATGTGGAATACTGCTTCAATCTTCATTAATAAAAACCAAAGAAAAAGCAAAATTTAATAACCCAGCCATCTCATAATCATCAGATACTAGCATTCCTTCATCATCCATCAAGGGTCCTACCCCCATCTTAAAATTTTGTTTACCCTTAATGTACTTAAAGAAATCCTTACTGTTAATTTTATCACAGGTGTTACCATTTTATTATTATGGACAGATATTCTAAGAGCCATTATTAAAGTTTACAGAATCTCAGATTTCATTTTTATCTATTTATTTCATCTATCACATTAATTTTTTGATTATATTTTGGAGTATAGAAATTACCATTGGATTCTGTAAATTACAATCAGCCTTATCCAAACCTAGATGACTTTATGATCTTCTCTTGACTTCCAGTTTCTGCAGATTTTAATGAGTTAGTTATTTCAGTTACATTTTTATATATTTGATTTTTATTCTTACTGACTTTTAAGGTAGATTTTCCATTGCCAACTAAACCTGAATTTTTGGTTTACTGGCTTTTCAACAGTGGTAACAATTGAATGACAATTTTTTTGCATTAGACACATATCTGTGTCTTGTCTCACTTACAATTAACAAGTAAGATAAGTAATCAACATTAAAAATTACCTTTTAGTGTCATAATCCACCAGCACACGGTTCTCCATTACCAGCTTTAATTCTGGGAAATCCTCACATACCCACCTAAATCAAAACAAATAATTTTGAAATCAATCAAGCTGATACAACAAATGAATACACAAAGAACTGTGCACCTATCATCTTAAGTATAATACTCACAGATTTTAATGTTCTAGTTTATATCCCCATCACTTTAAATAAGTTCTATTTTAACTCTATTCATGTAATAACACAATTTTTTTTATATGATGTGGTAAACGTAACATTTCAAACTTCTAAATACTCAAATAACTACTTACTACAATGCTAAAAAAAATATAAATTGCACTCCTGATAGGGTAACATTTGTTACCACACAATTTTTAGGTGCTGGCATGTAACAAAGTCATTTGGAATTTGGTCTACTATCCTTCCAATGGCTTGTATGTTTACAAACCTTCTTATGCTTGCATTTTCAGTGTCTCAAGTCTAAACATTAAAAATATCTATACTCCCTTGTTGTCTTGTACTGAAGCACAACAAAAAACAAAACGTCTTGTGTCTTTCATCTGCGGAACATTTGTAATTTGTAAAGTCTACAGTAGTTAATTCTACTAGTATATACAGTGTATAACAAAAACAAATTTAAGGCATTCAAATAAACAACAAGCTATTAAACCTGCCACTTGCCTGATACCTGTACCTTTCCTCTTCATTGAAACATTGAAAAATCAGAATAAAAGATGATGACCAATTCTGATAGCAACAATAATGTTATGGCCTTTTCTAGGAAGGCACATATTTTTTGTTTCCATCATCAAACTGTTCTTGCTACACAGTTTCTATGTCTCAGCTCATAAAGTTAACTCCACCAACAGGAGGGTGACACAACCTCATTGCATAGTAAGTTCTAGCATATGATCATAGGCTCATTTCTGAGGAGGCAAACAAAATGCACCAAAAGAGAGGAGGAAGGATTGTGGGTGGTTTACAGAGATAAGTATCTATCTGAATTACATTTTAAGGTATGGGAAGTGTTAGTTTCAGAGATGTTACTTACCTATCTATACCACTAAGAGATAGAATCCCACATTGAAAATGGTGGAAAGGCCAGTGCTGATCAACTACAAAAATGAGCTCCCCTCTCTAATAGCGACAGATAGGGAAAGCCCATGACTTCCATGAGACTGGGGTTCACAGTGGAAGACTGCATTCTTTTCAAGGAGGAAATAATTTTTAGCCAACAGTTTCTTTTCCTTTTTTTGGCTGAGATAATACAGCAAGTGATATAAAGAAAATCCAGTGTTCGTGGCAGCATGTCACCAAAAAGGGCAGGACATTATGCATGTGTGGCTAGGGCTTTAGGTCATTTCATCTTCATCAAATACTTACCCAAGTTAGATTCTATAACAACAGGTAAAGGGAGAAGGAACCCTCACCCACAACCTGAAGCAAATCCAAGTCCCATCTGGTTGGACATATCCACTGGGAACTGCTTGGGAGATATTGTAATGAGGTGTCCTGTACTATACTTCCAGGTAACCTAGCCTTACACCACAAATGAGTGGTAATCTCAACTGGTCTCTCAATGGGGAAAAAGGCACCACTCAAAAAGGGAACTCTCAATATCAACATCTCACAGATTGGGACTGGGGATGTAAAGTTTCTCCCAAGTTCCACTAGAAGAATGGGATGGGGAGGAATATACAGAGGAAAGAACATCTGAGAGTGTGTTTGAAACACCATCATCAGACACAATAATTGTAATTGGGTTCCCTCAAGTGACAGTGTAATGGGTTATGACTAAAGATAGCATGTACAAGCCAGGTGTAAGAGCAGGAGAATATCTAGTGTTGTCAATTCTATAGATATACCACTGAAGCAGTAATGCAGAAAAACCACCTCAACAGTGGGCACAGAGCACAGTCAGATGGGTTTAACAGTTTCTATACTCCCTCACTCAATGTGGATTTTGGGAACTATTCTTTGTGAGGTAACATAAGTTACTCAGCAGGATCCAATGACACCAAACTTAATGAATGTAGTACTTAATTGCATGGGGTTTTTTCTTTATTTTTTGTAGGTGTGAATATGTAAGTTTTGTCTCTTAGAGAAGGAGATAAGCCATTGAAAAAACAGGTAATGGTGGATTGTGAAATGTATGAGGGACATGGAAAACAAACTCGATCAGTGAAGGTTGGAAAATAAAATAAAGAACCTCTGGGTAGACTGAAAAGTGGAAATGGGAGAGAATCAAAAAACAGGGGCATATGAAACTGCACAGTAATGTAAGTAAATAGAGATTAATGTGTTAGAAGTCCACATACAGACTGCAACATCTCAAGATAAAAGGTCTGCACCAAAAGAAGGCAAGAGAGGCTGTGATATACTTAATCTTATGGGTGGTGACATCATAAGTCACACTCACCCAAAAAGGAATATTTCAGACAGAGGAGTTGAGGAACTCAACCATTTAAAGTAGAATGAGATAAGTCTCGTCTTTACAGGAGGTAAACCAGGAGAAAAACAAGTAATGAAAGTGTTCATGAAAGAGGGTAGTCTGAAATGGATAGCAATAGACAGCCCTAAATAGACAGAAAAGACAACTGGGAAAGTTCAGATAATAAAGAAATAGAAGGGAGAGAGAGAGAGAGAGATAGGGAGAAAAACAGCTGATCACGCTCATGGACAATCCAAGAAATTGTTGGTCAGAGAACAAATCAACAGGTTCATATGAAATAAGGGATAGAATGAGGTGAAGCATGATGAAGGCATGAATGTCTAGATGAAGTTGACCATAAGTGAGTACAAGAAAACAGCTAAAAGAATAGAAATAGAGTCTGCCAAGAGGCAAAAGATGTGGATAACACTGCTCGGTGACTGGAAATTGTTGAAACTGATAGGACTATGACAAATACTCAAGTAAAGCATGGGTCCCTGGTGGATGATGTAAAAAACAACCACACAAATGTCTGAATGGATCATTGAGATGACCCAACCACTGCAACTGAAGATTTAAGCAAGTCTGAGGAGCTGCAAATATATCCAAAATCTAAATAAGGAGATATCAATCCATTATAGACCAGACCCCAGAAAAAATGGGTATCAAAAACAGACCCTCAACAAGAAAGAAAGGTATTGGTGTAAAGATGGAAGAAGGGGTCCCAGGATACAACCAAATGATGGCAGAGACCCCTAAAATGATATGACCTTAATAATTAACAACAAACAGCCCCACCCCCCCAAAAAAAAACACAGGAGTCTATCCAGGTTAGAATGATCATAGAAGTGAGAGACAGAAGGAAGGGAAATAGAAGAAAAAAGTACAGTTACCCTCCTAAGTGGTAGAAGACTGAGGAACAAAACACCATTGTGGAAATTTGAGTATATAAGTGAGTTGGAAGAGGGTGTAAGAAGCATTGATAGCATAAACATCCAAAGGATGGCAACCACAAACAAGGAGGAGGAGGAAATGAGTCATGAGAGAAAGGTAGTACAAAGAACAAGAAGCTAATGGCTCAGTTGGGGCATGAATAAGTGTGTGAAAAACCATATTAAGAACCAAATCGGGCATAGAAGTTGGGTGAGGAGATCAGTGAAGAAAGAGGACAGCAGAACACAGTGGAAAGAACAGAGGAAGAAAACTTCCAGTGATACCAGGAGAAGTGCAATGTAGTGGACAATGATAACCAGCAATGGTTGAGACCAACATACCATGGTTTAACAACCAATAAAAAAAAAAGCATAAAGGTGGTTCACAGTAGGACAGTCAGGAAGAAAAAAGTGGCAAATAAACCAATGACAAAATATCTGCCACTTTTGTTGATAGACAGACAACGTAGAAGGGATATAGGAATGTAAGAAGAAGGAGGCTATACAATCAGAATGTCCAGCCTGACAGGCAATGGACCAGACAAATCCCACATGTGAATATGGAGGAACATCTCTTCATGAAAAAGGGACATGAGGTTGAAACAAGAGGAAGGAGACATTGGAAGGAAGGAGGATCTGGATGCCAAGTAAAAAAGCAGAGGAAACCAAAGCTGAGTTGGCCAAAGAGGCACCACAGTAAAACTGAAGGAGTGTCACTTATCAAGACAAGGATCTGAAGGGGGAGTCAAAGAAGAGGATAGGTATATAGAAAAAGGTGAGACCAGTCCTGGCTGAGAGCTTTGACAGCCAAAGTCAAAGAATGAGGAACAGGTGACCAAAAGAGAGGAAGTTGGAAGTCAAGAAGGACGGGAAAGGCTTCTATGAGGGGCATGCCTAACTGAAAGTAACCCAATAAGAGACCTGGGGTTGGAAATACCACTCTGTGGGTTTAATACAGTGTGGCTGAAAGAGGCAGTCTGCCAAAACATTCATAGCTCTTGACACATGACAGCCAACAAGATGAGCCTAATGTGAATGAGCTCAGAAGAATAAGTCCACAGTTTGAAAGCAAAGGGCCCTGGAATGGGTGCTCCCTTGACAGTTGATATATGAAATGGCTGTGGAAATGTCTGAGTGGATCATGACCAAATGATCCATCAAAAGAGATAAAAAATGGGAAAATGTCCAATGACTAGTGAGAAGTTTAAGTATGTTGATGTGGAGTGAATGATCATCCTTCATCCAAATGCCAGAAGTCTTGTCATTGTATAGAGATGCACTTTAACCTGAAAGGGAAGTATCAATGAAGAGATGGAAATCCAATTTGGGGGTTGGTAAGAGAATGCCAGGAGTAGTATTGACACAATCCAGCCATCATGATAATTCCATAAGAAGAGAAAAAGGGATGCTCATAATCAAGAAAAATGCAACTGCAAGGTTCATTGGAGGAGGCACATCTGTGCACACCACAAAGGAATGAGTGGTTCCAAGGAAACCAGAGTCCCCAAAAGCAAAAGAACTCTTCTTGCAGGATGAGAATGAGAAGCACAGCTCCTGATGACCAGATACTCCACAGTTTGCAGGTAAGAAGGAGAAAGCTGAGTGCAGCTGAGATAAAAGATTAAGAAAATGCTCAGATGTACCAAATATTACGTGAGCATGGGAAAAGACCATCGATATCTTGACAAGCCATCCAAACCAAACAGCTTGCTGCATAAAAAGGAAAGTGTGAGAGGAGGTGAAGGGAGGAGAGGGAATACAGGAAGATGATGAGAAAAATATAAAGACATGGAAATGAGGAAAAAAAAAAGAGTGAAACAGAAGACAAGGGGCCCAATCTCCAGGCAGACCAAATACATACCAAAGACAGGGAATCTGAATAGGAAAGGAAGATTGTCTGCAGGCCAGGACAAAAAGTCACAAATATAAGGAAGACATAGCATGTGGGTGTGAGTGAGGGGCTGTTACAAAAAAAAGACAGCATAAACAGTAATACCAAGGAGGAAAGACAAAGTAATCCCAAGAATTGGGTCCATGGAGTTAAGACTGGGCAATATTAAATAACACAGACCAAAGATAAGGAAAGGAACATACCTGAGAATCATATCCAGAAATAGATTGGAAGGTTAAAGGTTAAATTCATAGTCCAATAGGCCATATACAACTGAGGAGAAAGAATGCTGGCCAAACAAATGGAGTAGGAGACCTCATAAGCATGTGGTAATCCACAACACATTGAAAAAAGGCTACAACATTCCCAACAGTTAACAAGCCTCCAGAAAGGATAATAGAAATAGGGCCCGTATCTGTGTAATATTGTAACTCACACAGGGCTCAGTAGATGTCACCGTCATTTGAGAATTCAAGATAATAATCAACACTTTTGAAACAAAAGAAAGCCAATTTAAAATGAAAAACCAAAGTTTCTTTAATGAATGAAAATCTCATTAAATTGAACTTGGCCAGAAATATATCAACATATGTTCAATATAATGACGAGAAAAAAAAGAAGTTATCAGGAGTGCGAGTGCATAGGGGGAGTTACTGCAAATGGAAGTTGTGTCACCCTCCTACTGGTGGAGGGTTATTGTCACATGATGATGTTATCATGCACCAGTGCAGTTCATGTTAAAC